AGGAGGGTGGCTTCAGGGCCCTGAGTTCTGGGATTTGAAACAGTGATATCTCATTCAAATCCAGGCTCTGATGCATGACTTGCAAGAGGTAATAATGTCTCCTCCCTCCTAGGTTAATATCTTTCTATGTATACCCAGGGTTAATATCTATATCTATATCACCCTAAATATGACACCCTGTTAGAATCAAACAATAATTAAATATTAAGTTGCTATCACTTACTTATTGTTTATTCTGTGCCAGGCACTGTTGTAAACACTTTACACATTATTATTGACCAGATGACTTACTTTCTCTTTTTGAATTATGTTTGTTTTCTCAACCTCCAAGTAGGAATGTTTGTTGAATAAATGTACTGCCTTCCAAAGAAGGCTGCTAAGAAAATTGATTCCTTGTCTAAAAGTGCGGAGGCATCTCTAGGGGCAGGAGGACAGCCAGGAGAGAGGGAGATCTGGGCCCCTCGGAGGACTTGCTGCAGATGGGCTCAGGATTCCCACTACGGGTTCATTTGTCCATTTATCCAGTGCTCCAAGAAGGGCTGCCCTGAGCAGGGCCAGGGAATAGCACTGGGGTGGAGGGCACAGCCCACCCCAATGACTTACTCCTTTCTCCTTGACTCGCAGGAGAGGCTTCCTCAGCCAGGACCTGCCTCTGGGAGCCTCTCAGGGGTGAGTACCAGGAACCAGGACCTCAGGCCCTGTTGGGCTCTGGGCCTGATGGGTCCCCTCAAGAGGCTGCCTTGCCGGGTTGGGGCACTGGCTAGCCTGGGCCTCTGTCTACCCCTGGGTCAGGTGGGGATAGATCCTCTGACCCCAGCATAATTCCTGGACGCCAGTTGAGAAGCACAGGTGAGAGCTAGCAGAAGGGTCCTTGAAGCTCTCCTTGGGCAGCTCAGAGGGATGGCCTCAGCATCCGAGCCTTGGGAGACTCTTAGGAGTCTAGGGAGCCTCGGAAGACAGAGCGGAGGAAAGTCCCACCCCCCGCTGGATGCAGTCATGAGCCAGGTTCTACTTCCCTACCAGACAGAAATCTGAGCTGGTGTCTCTCCTCTGCAACCAGATGCTAATTCCTGCCTGGCTTGCATCGCCTTGGTTGCTGGGGAATCAAATTAAATGAAGGCTAGGAAGGTGTGTGTTATTATCACCAGTCAGAGCTGAGGTTAGACACCAGGAAGGACGTCCCCTGGGTTCCCTCTCCTCTGGTGAACCTTCTCGCGTGCGTGGGGCTGAGCGCCAGCCTCTAGGCCGCTCACCGGCTCCTCTTCTCCCGCAGGGACCCGGGGCCAGGTGCTGCGGCTCGAGGCGCTGCGGCTGCTGCTCTTCAAGCTGCTGCTGTTGGATGTGCTTCTGACCTGCAGCCGCTTCCGCGCCCCGCCCGCCGCGCGGGGGTACCCGGCCCGGGCGCCTCGCCCTGGGGACCCCGGGCTCCCCGCGGCCCCGTGGGCGGACCACCTTCTCCTCCCGCAGCCTCCGCCACCGGGAGGATCGTCCGCAGACCCCACCGACTGGATTCGCCGCAATGATGGGTGGACCACAGGCCGAGGGCTCAGCCTGTCCACCCCGCCGGCGCTGCAGCCCCGGGACGGCCGCTGGGTTCACACCCGCCCACCGGGTCGGGATCCCAGGAGCCCTGTCTGGGAGGAGGGGGCCGCCGGTGCTCAGTGCGTGGCGATCGGGACCCGCCCTCAGTATTCCTGCCTCCAGCCTTGGAGCATTTCTCTGCGATCTGCCTCCTCCAGCTGACCCGAGCTTCCCCGGGGGCTAGGCTCCGTCTCCCCCCCTCAGACTGACGGCTTTCTGAGGGAAAAGCCTTTGTCTCTCCCATCAGATTGGAAGTCCCTTGAGGGTGGTGATTGACCCAGACACTGGGACATTTGAGGTGCTGATAACTGAGAACAATTAAAGGAGAACTTATATGACACAAGCAAATGAAAAATGTTTTAACTCCTGTCTGCTCTGGGAGGAGGGAATTTGGCAGATTTACAGGAGGCAGAAATCTGGGAAGGCTTCCTGAGGGTGAGAGCCTGGAAACTGCAGAGTGGGGCTGGGGGTTGGGGTGGATGTGGTCCCAACTCTGTCTCCTTTCCTCATCACCAGGCATGGGGCAAGGCCCCCTCCCCCTCTCTGTCTCCTCACCCTCGCCCTGACCTCTCTGAGAGGTCAGGGTGAGGAGCCCATGAACCCAGGAAGATGGGGCGCTGGTCCTGATGTGAAGTCTTGTACAGACTTGACAGAAAAGAATAGGGCCAGGGGCTTCCCTGGTGGCGCAGTGGTTGAGAGTCCGCCTGCCGATGCAGGGGACACGGGTTCGTGCCCCGGTCCGGGAAGATCCCACATGCCGTGGAGTGGCTGGGCCCGTGAGCCATGGCCGCTGAGCCTGCACATCCGGAGCCTGTGCTCCGCAACAGGAGAGGCCACAACAGTGAGAGGCCCACGTACCACAAAAAAAAAAAAAAAAAAAAATAGGGCCAGGATTCCAGAGTAATAGGATCATAACCACTGCCAAGAGCACAGATTCCAAACTTATACATTATTAATCAATTAAGGGTCATTATTCATTTGACAAATATTCACTGAGCTTCGACTCTGAGCCAGGCACTAAAGAGGTTTTAGTTTCGTTTTGTTTTGTTTCCTAAAGAGGGTTCTTGCACTGATAGAATATGAGGCTCCCACAGTGGGGTGTAACCTGTGTGTCCTCCGTTAGTCCAGCTCTTGCAGGAAACCCTGCCTTTTCCAGAGTTTCCTCTCCAGTAATCACCCCAAGAATCTCTGGGTGCATTCATGTGAATCCAGATGTCCCCTGGGGCAGTGCAGGACAGTTCCCTGGATCAATGGCCCTACTTCAGTCTTCCTTCCCCCAACGTGGCGGGGAGGAACTGTACTCTTAACACTCCCCACACACATGGCGTCAGTGACTCCCAGCTTGCCAGAGCCCCTTTGCCCTTTTAGCTACTCTTCCACGAAAACCCTCACCTCTCCTCCATTGTTCATCTCTCACCAGCCTGTAAGGAGACTCTCCCAGCTCTTTTCTGGATCCTTCAAGGAGGGACAGGGCACAACTTCTGGGGAATCAACCTGTCCACCATCCCCACAGAGCCGGCTCCTTCCCTAACACACAGAATGAGGGAGGGGTAGGCTGGGTGGGGGTGGGGGCGTATCCAGCCATAATCTCAGAATTTCTCCAGCCACTGTCCCTTCCCAGCTCTCAGCCCAGATGTTGAGCCCAGGGCTCCTGCCAAACTAATCTGTGTCTCCGTAAATGTCCTCTCAGAGGCCCTTTTGTTTATCCTGGAAGCAGGCTTCCCTTAGCTTCAGCGCTCCTACCCATCTTGCCCCCCTTCCCCCAATCCTGCCCTGCCCCAGACTCTGAATCCCCACTGTGGCTGCATTAATGTTATTTCCCAAGAGGGTTCCTGGCCAGACTCTTGAGCCTCCTCAAGTCGTTTAAAGCCTAGAGAGCATGGAGGACCTCAGGACAATGTCCTGACCCTCTACACTGTGGAATTCTATATACCACAGCTCCTGCCTATCCAAAGTGCCTTGTCACCCACACAACTCTTTTAAGCTAAGAAACTGAGATCAGGGGCTTCCCTGGTGGCACAGTGGTTAAGAATCCGCCTGCCAATGCAGGGCACAAGGGTTCGAGCCCTGGTCTGGGAAGATCCCACATGCCTGGAAGCAACTAAGCCCGTGTGCCACAACTACTGAGCCTGTGCTCTAGAGCCCGCGAGCCACAACTACTGAAGCCCACTCGCCGAGAGCCTGTGCTCTGCAACAAGAGAAGCCACCACAATGAGAAGCCCGTACACCACAAAAAAGAGTAGCCCCCACTCGCCGCAACTAGAGAAAGCCCACACGCAACCAAAAATAAATAAATTAATTAATTAATTTAAAAAAAGAAACTAAGATCAGGAAATGACAAGTCAATGGACTGAGCATCAGTCCTTTAAAGTCTTTATAAAGTAGCATAAATATCCAACCTCTAGGAAGGAAACAAGAGGCACTGGGAAACACGGATTTATGGACAAAAATGGAATTTGCAGACAACCTCCCAGAGAAGCAGCCTTGGTCTGTGCGTGTCCATAGAACACTGAGCGCAGGGCCAGCCTGAAGCAGCCCCAAAGACCCAGAGAGTCCTCCTCTTGATGACACAGCACAAGGGGGTTTCACTGAGCAACTCCTTGTGCTAGGCACCCTGTTGCTGGGGAAGCGGAAGGGAAATCAATCATTCATTAGCCAAGTCCCTGCCTTGTGGGAGCTCAGAATCCAAAGAAAAAAACAATAGGCCAGAAAAGGGAGCCAGATTACACACTAAAAAGAAAATTATTGCATGAACTTTTTACAATCTGCTCAGTAAGCCTTAATTCTATTAACCCGTTTGAGCGTCGCAGGAACAGGCAAGTCTTGAACAGCAGCTAGGAGGATCACTTTGTCATCATACAGATTAAAACTGAGGCTCAGAGAGGAAATGATTTGTTCTAGTTCTCACTGGGACAAATCTAGGGTTACTGGGCCCTGTTTGAAGGCTGGGGACTCTTGGAATCGTCCAGGTCTCACCCACAGCGCCTACTAGAGTGACCGGCAATTAGAACAATAACAACAGCAGCAATAATAATAATAAAATTTAAAAACTGGTGCTCAGTTAGTACTAGCTTCATAATGACCCCAGGGGAGAAGCGACGTGCAAGGAGGCGGAGAAGGCAGTGAAGACTCTCTTTCCCATACCTTTCAGGACCAGGGCGCTGCTTCCTCTTCCCTAGCTCTGGTCCTCCAGCCCCACCCAGAGCCTCCGTTATGGGATGGGCAAAGATGTTGCCATAGGTCACTGAGGGCACCATCCGCTCTCTCATTGGCCGAGGCCGAAAAAAGATCGTTCTCCGTTTCGCTAGAAGGCAAACCCCGAAAAGCCCATTGGCTGCCTAGTCCGCGGGCCTTCGTCGGCTCTGGGGGCCGGACGAGGCGGCCTAAAGCGGGAGTAGGCAGGAGGGGCTCCTCGTTGCCCTGGTTACGCTGAGGCACGTGTGCAGTCCCGGAAGCGGCTCCGGGAAGCTGCCTAGCTCGCGCAGCCGGAGGAAGCGCAGCCGGGTCCGCTCGGGTCGGGTCCGGCTGGGCCATGGAGCCGTTACCTGAGCCCGCGTCCCGGCCCCGGCCCGGGCCCAGGGCCCGCCGTCTTCTGCTTCTCCCCTTGCTACTGCTGCTGCTGCTACTTCTGGCGGCCCCGGAACTGGGCCCGAGGCAGGCCCGAGCAGAGGAGACCGACTGGGTTCGACTGCCCAGCAAATGCGAAGGTGAGGGGGCGGGGCTTGAGGAGGAGCGTCGGGGGATCGAAGGCCCTGGGCTCTCCAGCGGGTCTCCACTCCCTGAACCTGCTATGTGCCTGGCCCTGTCCTGGATGTTGGGGACACAGGGGCGGGCGAGAGTTCAGGTCTCAGTGCACTTGGAGCTCAGAAATCGGTGAAAACAAGCACTTATAATCGGGGTAGTAGTTGCCGTGGTAGGGGAGGCACAGAACTTTGGGGGCTGGGTGAGGAGCATCTAAATCTAGCCCAGAGATGGGGGGAAAGGCTTCGTCCAGGAAGCCCTGAACGATTAGGAGTTAGCCGGGTGAAGAGAAGTGAAGCCACAGATGGAGAGGCCTACAAGCAAAGGACAAGTTTGAGGAACTGAAAAGATCCACATGACTGGTCTTGGGGGAAGAAGAGCTTGAGACGCTCCCTTTGTGCCCTCACGGCAACCTACTTTGTGTCATTGGAAGTCTCCCCCACTAGCTGTGAGCTGCGGGCAGCGACCTTGACTCAGATAGCGATTCACACAGTGCCTAGTAAGCAGCCAGTAGTTGTATTTGGAATAAGTATGAGTGAAGGGGGTGGGCGCGCTGTGGGTGTGTGTGGAGGGGGGAGGAGGGTCTGAGGCCGAAGGGGTCACTTTAGGAGAAGAAGAGAGCCTGGGGGAACTTCCTGAGGGAGGAAGATTTTAGGAATATGGGAAAAGAGTGAATCCCAAAGGCCTCCCAAGGTGTGGCACTGGAGAGAGAGAGAAGGAGAGGGAGTGGGAAAGAGAAAAGAGCGCCAGCACGCAAACCAGCGATTCAGGACTGGGAAGGGCCTACCTTTTATTTCCTCCCCTCCATTTCTCAGTTTCCTCCTCAAGCCTTTACACCCACTCCTTCCTTCTCCCCTCCCTAACCCCAGCCCCCCACGAAAGTTGGCTATAAATCTGTTGCATCCTAACACAAAGCGTACAGTCGGCCAGAGGTTCCCCAAGCACTGGGGATTGGGGGTAGTTTGGAAAGCATAATCTTTTTGTTTGAGAGATTAAAGGTGAGATGCTTCAGAGATGAGCTGACCTCACTGGTCGGCCTCCCAATGTGGATTCTAGCCTCTACTTTCTCCCTCACTGTCTTGAATAGACAGTCAGAGGGTTATGATGCCTTCCTTTCTTTCACTCTTCTTTTAGTCATAGCCAACATCTTTTGGGGGTTTCAGTTCCCCTTCTCATTTCCTATCTTATTCTAATACCAAAGAGCCCTTACTGTTTCTCTTATTATTCTCACAGCCTAAGAAGTTCACATTTCTTTTCCTTAGACTCATAATAGCACGGAGCTGGCAAAGATCTTTAGATCATTCTAGTCCAACCTGATTTTGTAGGTAATTAATAAAAATAATTTTAAAGGGATTTTCAGTCATAGGAAGGCTTGGCAAACTCCAACCCTTAGGCTCCTCTTAATCATGTATATTTACTTTTACTTATCACTGTGACATCTTTGGTATTAAATGCTGACTATCTGGCCAACAAATCCTGCCTCCTGGCTCAGTAGCCTGAGTGGAAGCGGCCTTGGCACAGAGGAAGGAGAACCTGCCCAGAAAAAAGTGGGTGGATGTGCATGAGGATCTAGGGTCTGTGCCATGAGTCTCCTCCAAGTCTGGCTCTGGGTGGGACCCCCAGAGGGGGTCTTGAAGAGGTAAGCTTTGGAAGAGTTGGGCAGCAAGGTTGTGGTTGATGGGTATAAGAGAGATGAGTTGATGGGTTCCAACCTCCGGGGCCTGGCATACTGCATGTTGAGGGTGTGGAAGGCGGGGGGCACAGGAGCCAGAAAAATGATGAGCTTGTACACAGTACAGGACAGAAGAGGGGAGGGAGCCCAGATGGTCCTGGATGGAGAGCCAGGGAGGTGAGACACCCACAATTCATTGCAGACTCTGAGGTTACTGGCTTACATTTTGGAATTTTCATGCGTTCCAAGTTCTCCAAGCCATCTATTAATGCATATGTTATAAAATTTCACCAAACAAGCCTGCAGGGGATTTATTTGTTTCAGTAGTAAGTTGGTTTTCTACCCAACTCTGCTGTTGGTGTTATAACAACGCTGATGGCATTTAGCCTGCAAACCACGTTCCACTCGGAGACGTCAGAAGCTGCTCGAGCACCAGCACAGTCTCTCTGAGCAATATTTATCAAGTATCCAACTGATAAAGTCCAAGACTAGAGGAATAAAGAAAAAAATCCAGTACGTGATCCTCATTTTGAGTGCCCTTGTAGTCGAATCAGAGAGACACATGAGGTGACGGAGGCCCTTAGTGAGAGCATGGATCCTGCAGAGTCTCAGAATGAAATCAAGAGCAGGTGGGATTCATCCAGAAGGGCTTCCTGGGGGAGGGGGTTTTTAAGGTGAGGTTAGGAGAATGGACAGACAACCCCTGAAGGGGGACATCATGCACTTTCCTGAAGCCCCAGGCACTGCCCACTTTCAGTGGTAGCACTCCTTATGCAATGGTAATTATTTGTTTACACTTCTCTCTGCTCCATTAGACTGAATATCTAGAAGGGAGGGACCTTCTTTCTGTCTGTGTATCCCCAGGCAGTGCCTGACACAGGAGTTGCTTAATAACTGTTCAAGGAAGCGTAAGAGGAAATGAGAAAATAAATGAACAAAAACAGTAGAAACAGACCTGTGGGGGGAATGCAGCAAATTAATTTGGTAGGAACAGAGAGCTGGTGTTGGAACAACATATGAAATCAAGAAATAAAACAGTCATGAAAGACATTTTGGGGGGCTTCCCTGGTGGCGCAGTGGTTAAGAATCCGCCTGCCAATGCAGGGGACACGGGTTCGAGCCCTGGCCCAGGAAGATCCCACATGCCATAGAGCACCTAAACCTGTGCACCGCAACTACTGAGCCTGTGCTCTAGAGCCTGCAAGCCACAACTACTGAGCCCACATGCCACAACTACTGAAGCCTGTGAGCCTAGAGCCCGTGCTCTGCAACAAGAGAAGCCGCGGCAATGAGAAGCCCGCGCACCGCAACGAAGAGTAGCTCCCGCTCACCGCAGCTAGAGAAAGCCGGCGCGAAGCAAAGACCCAACACAGCCAAAAATAAATTAATTAATTTAAAATTTTTTAAAATAAATAAACAATTTTAAAAAAACATTTGGGGAACAACTGGGGAAATTTGAATATGGACTGAGTATTAGATGATATTGGAATTGTTGTTAATCTTCCGAGTATGGTGATTTTTATGGTTAGGTAGGAGAAGGTCCTTGTTCTCGAGAGATGCATGATGACTTGTTTAGGAGTGATGTAAGTCTACTTACTTTCAAAATGGTTTAGCAAAAACAATGTGTATATTGTTGACATCTATTATTATCACATTGCTTTATATTATATATTGGGGAGAGAGTGTGATAAATCACTAACGACTGTTTTTTTGTTTGTTGGTTTTTACTCACAACTGTTGACTGTGAGTGGAAGGTGTATAGTTATTCGTTGTACTCTTTCAGCATTTCAGCTTTTCTATATGTTTGAAAAATTTTTAAGTAAAATAAATGATTGTGGGGGTGGGGAGCAGGAAGGAGCTGGGAGGAATGAAGCCAGTAGGAATAGGGCCAGGAGTGGACAGGGGGCAGTGGGATCTTGGAGCCCGCTTTCACCTACTGAGCTCCATTTGGTGGTCTGGTGCTAACTCCTTTCTCTGCCCCAAGCATTGACTCAACTCGGTCCTGGAGAGGCGTCCACTCGGGTCTGTTTTGCTGGGAGCCAGCTCCCGTCAAAGGCTCAGATGCACTCAGTAGGCTGTGCTGTGTCTCCTTCCCCCAGTGTGTAAATACGTCGCAGTGGAGCTGAAGTCAGCCTTTGAGGAAACTGGCAAGACCAAGGAAGTGATTGACATGGGCTATGGCATCCTGGACCGGAAGACCTCAGGAGTCAAATACACCAAGTCGTAAGTGAAGTGGTAGGGAGGGGGGCACTGGCCTGGTCTGCTTTGTCCCTCGAGGCATCAGCAGCTTGAAGTTCCCTTCTCCCTTCTGGCTAGGCAGACCCACCAAAGGGAGGCAGCTCTAACTGAGACCTAAGTTTGCCCACTGGTTCTATCCCCAACTAATTGTGTGGCCTTCATAAGTCCCTGAATGCCTCTGGGCTTCACATTCCTCATCTGTAAAAGCAAGACTGTTGGACCTTATCAGTGATTCCCAGGCTCTTGGATTTTATGGATTAATTTTTTTAAATATAGGATTACTGGGGAATTCCCTGGTGGTCCAGTAGTTAGGACTGGGCGCATTCACTGCCGTGGCCCGGGTTCAATCCCTGGTCAGGGAACTAAGATCCCGCAAGCCTCGCAGCGTGGCCTAAGAAAAAAAGAAAAGATTACCAACTTCTAACTTTGCCAGGTACAAATATTAAAAACAAACCAAAAAACACTTCCATCAACTACGATCATCCTTTCAAAATGAAGTGATATCTTAACATCAAACTTTAATACATTTTACTTTATTTTTAAAAAATCTACCGAATCATTTAGCTTTATTAAAAAAAACAAAAACAAAACTTCCTTCCCGTAGAGCTGTTAAAATTGTGTCTCTCTGGTCTGTGTTCCAGCATTTCAGAGCCCCCCCAGATGACCTATCTTCCTTCCAGCTCTGCCTTCCCGTTGGTGAGATGTGCAGGTGTTGGGGTAGCAGGGCTGGAGGGACAGACCACTAATCCACGGGGGTGAGGAGGGGAACTCAGGCCCTCTCGTGCTGCTGTCTCGGCAGGGACTTACGGTTAATCGAAGTCACTGAGACCATTTGCAAGCGGCTCCTGGACTACAGCCTACACAAGGAGAGGACCGGCAGCAACCGATTTGCCAAGGTTGGGTTTGTGCTGGCCCTTCATCCGCACCGGGGCCAGGCTGCATGTTTAAGTGTGTCTGCTGGTCTGGGTGCCACTGGAAGATCGTGCCCTGCGAGCATCCCTCCTCGGTCTCTCCCCGTTCTTCATCCATTGCTGTTGGCACCCCTCCCCTCCTGAGCGGCCTGACTTTTCAGTGGCAGTGGGCACATCCCTGATGGTCTGGGCCTGCCCATTGGGGTCCTGCATCAGCCCCAGATAGAAATGCTCCCGGGTGGCAGCCCCCTCGGAGGCCTAAGCACTCGTGCAGGGAGAACTCAGGCTGTGCCGAATTGTGAGGGTTTAGAGGAGATGTCAGAAGACTCTTGGGGGGCAGTGACTGCCACGTCCCTCCTCTGGGCCCACAGGGCCCTTACCTGGACCTCCATCATGGTGCCTTTGTGACATTTATTGTGCTTACTGTGTACACGAATGCTTCTCTCCCTGGAGAATGAGCTTTCTTGCAACAAGGCCCATGTTTCTTTGTCTCTGCATCTTCCTTGTTTGGTAGGAGAGGTGTCTCCCACATTTCTCCACCTAAGTACCCTTATAGCAAAGGAGATCCATCAGAAACCCCTGGGAAACCTAGATGAATAGTATCAAACCACAGAAGTCTTAGGTTTTATCTTTATAATGGGTGTTAATGTTGTACTTGGTAATAAATCCATGTTTAATTTAAAAATGTTTAACATTATTTTCCATAGCAAAAAAATTAGAACCAACCTAACCATTCATTCACCAGTAGGGGAGTGGTTAAATAAATCAGTGTGGCCATTCAGTAGACCATTTTGCAAAGTGTAAAACGAAGAATGAGATAGCTTTTTATGAACTGAACTAAGATCATCTCCAAAGTATATTATTATTATTTTTTTTTTTTGCGGTACGCGGGCCTCTCACTGTTGTGGCCTCTCCCGCTGCGGAGCACAGGCTCCGGACGCGCAGGCTCAGCGGCCATGGCTCACGGGCCCAGCTGCTCCACGGCATGTGGGATCTTCCCGGACCAGGGCAGGAACCTGTGTCCCCTGCATCGGCAGGCGGACTCTCAACCACTGCGCCACCAGGGAAGCCCCAAAGTATATTATTAAGTGAAAAAGGCAAGGTGCCGAATGGTGTGTATGATACATACTGCTGCTTGTGTAAAATGTGGGGGTGGAAGAGAGGACATATTTGTGTGTATATTTGCTTCTAGTCGCGTGTATGATCTCTGGAAAGATAGAGGAGAAATAGTGTGTTGTCTCCGTGGAGAAGAATATTTTTTATGCAACCAAGGGTCCTCCCTGCTTCGCCTGTGCCTCTTCCCCTCAAGGAAAGACACAAGCCATAGGAAGAACCCGAAGCAGGGAGTGGGCCTGGATATGGGGGAGGTCACAGTGAGGGGAAAGAGCCAAGACCAACTTATTTCCTGGAAAAGGAGTATTTGTCCAAAGGGCCTGAGGGCAACAGCAGGCTTTTTTGGTTTTGGGGTTTTTTAATAAATTTATTTATTTTTGTCTGTGTTGGGTCTTCGTTGATGCGCACAGCCTTTCTCTAGTTGCAGCGAGCAGGGGCTACTCTTCATTGCAGTGCGCCGGCTTCTCATTGCAGTGGCTTCTCTTGTTGGGGAGCATGGGCTCTAGAGCGCAGGCTCAGTAGTTGTGGCACATGGGCTTAGTTGCTCCATGGCATGTGGGATCTTCCCAGACCAGGGCTCGAACCCACGTACCCTGCATTGGCAGGCATATTCCCATCCACTGCGCCACCAGGGAAGCCCCAGCAGACCTTTTGGAAAGAAGGAGTGAGGGGAGGCAGGTCTCAAAGAGGGGAGGGGAAGGTCAGGACAAGTGTGAGAAGCTATAGGGGGTCTTGACTTCCAGCTGGGTCCTTGGGCCTCCAGCTCCACTGGGAGAGGAGGAGGCAGGGAGAGGAAGGGTCTCTGCCTCTCATGTCTGGTCGCCTCTTCCAGGGCATGTCGGAGACCTTTGAGACGCTACACAACCTGGTGCACAAAGGGGTCAAGGTGGTGATGGACATCCCCTACGAGCTGTGGAACGAGACCTCTGCAGAGGTGGCTGACCTCAAGAAGCAGGTACGGACCCCTCGGCCCTCAGAGGCCAGCTGTGCCCCACAGAGCTGGGTGGTGGGGGGTCCTCAGCTGAGGAAGGCCACCAGGAGCCGGGGGACCGTGGTCAAGTCGTTTCACCCCTCTGGCTGCAGCCTCCTCGGGAATCAGCCACCAGCCTGGTGGGCGGCGGGGCTCAGCTGGGCTCCTCTGGGAGAAGTCGGCGCCGGGCTTTGCCAACGCGAGGCGTTGTGGTTAACAGTGCGACGTGCTGGTGGAGGAGTTTGAGGAGGTGATCGAGGACTGGTACAGGAACCACCAGGAAGAGGACCTGACTCAGTTCCTCTGTGCCAATCACGTGCTGAAGGGCAAGGATACCAGTGAGTCTGAGGGCACGTCAGCCCTCGATTGTGTTGTTTGCCTCCCCCTCAGGGGAGGTGGGTAGGGGGAGGACAGAAAAGAAATAAGAAATGGGGGCATCGTAGCATCTGTCCTCAGGGAGCTGGATGGGACAGGGTGGGGTCAAGGCCTGACGCGCCCGGTGCAGAGTAACGTGTGGATGCCTCAGATGCCCCAAAACGGGCCTGGGGCCACAACGAGGCAGAGCTGAGACGCGTTCCAGTCGCCGCCCCCAGTGGCTCCGCAGCCAGTGCTCCTCACCCAGCAAAGCAGTCTGTTGACGGTGTCTCTCCTCCTTGCCCCAGGCTGCCTGGCAGAGCGGTGGTCTGGCAAGAAGGGGGACACAGCCGCCCTGGGGGGGAAGAAATCCAAGAAGAAGAGTGGCAGGACCAAGGCCTCGGGTGGCAGCAGCGGTGGCAGCAAACAGAGGAAGGAGCTGGGTGGCCTCGAGGGAGACCCCAGCCCCGAGGAGGACGAGGGCATCCAGAAGGCTTCCCCCCTCACCCGCGGCGCCCCCGAGGAGCTCTGAGCCTAACTCCGCTCTCCTGCTGACCCAGAGCCCTGACCTGGGAGCTGGAGGATCTGGGCCCCGGCTCTGGCAGACAGCGGCACCGGGCTTCAGCTGTGCCTGCCTGGGCTGCGCCTCTTCTGCCGCAGACAGACTCCAGCCCTGGAAGAACTCAGATCAGCTGCGGGCAGCCCAGGCCGGCCTTTTCCCTCTGCCCAGCGTTACTCTCCTGACCCAGACTTCAGGCGGGCTCTGCGCTCTGAGGACTGCCCAGGACTCCAGTGTGAACTCGGACAGGCAGGTGTCGAGCTGGGCCCCAGGACTGGGGCTCCAGAGCCCCGCACCCCCTCGCTTCTCCGGCACTGACACCGGGAAGCAAGACTGAGGCCCCAGCTCCTCCTCTCTGCACCCACCCCTCCTGTGGACACCTTGCACTCTGCCCAGCCCTCCCCAGGGCTCACAGAGTAAAAACCTTTCGGCCTTTTTCGTTTGGATTTCTGAGTCCTTTTCAGCCCCTCAGAGGGGCCTGGAGCCCCCTGTGGCTCTTTCCTGTCCCTCACCTTCCAGCCTTGGGGGCTGAGGATGGGCGGCTGTTCCCATCCTCCCATCCCTGAGGCCGAACCTGCTGACTGTGGGGAAAGCAAGTGCAGGGAGGGCCCGGGGGCGCTGGGGCGAGGGGTGGGCCTTGGGTATGCGGTAGGGCCCCTCAGCTGCTCTTGGTCTCCCCGAGCCCCCTAGGCTGGGAGGGGCCTCACTTGTGCCCTGGTACCTGGCTGCCCTCATTCCTTCCCTCCCTCCCGCCTCTCCTCTCCCCGCCACCAAGGCCTTCCCGTTGGTTGTGTAAAGTGTACGCCAGTGACCCCACCAGCTCCCGCCCCTCGTCTCCACCTCCGCCTGGCCCCGCCTGTTGGTCTTGAACCTTGTTCCCTGATGACCACACCTGACCACTCCATGCCTCCTAGCTGTTGTGCCCGGAGCCCGCAGGGGAGGGAGGACACCCCAGTCCCCCCAAAACAGCTGGTTGCACCATGTTCTCTGGGAGTAAGGGAGAAACAGGAAGGCTGGCCTCTGGGGAGAAGGGATGGGAGGCTCCAGCACCTCCTTGTCTGTCCTGAAGGCAGAGATCTGTGGTGGGTCAGAAGCAATAGTGGTGACAGCTGCGAGTAGTCAGTGCTATAACCCTGCAGTGCACTCGGGTGGGCGCTGTTAGCTCCATTTTGTAGAAGAGGGAACTGAGGCTCAAGTCACAGGACGCGCCCAAAGTCCTGTTGGCAGTGGCACAGCTGCACGCGGACCCTGGCTTTGAGACCCCAGCCCACTGTATTCCCGCAGCCCCAGGGCCCCGCTCCCAACACCTGGCACTGGCCATGTGATTCGCATTGAACTGGTTTGGTTTCTTGCCCGTAACCCATGCCCACCAACAAGTCTCTTTTAGAAGGAAAATAGGACGCAGCCCCTGCTTCTAGAAAGGAGAGAAGAGTGGAAGGTCCCGCCAGCACTGCGCCCACACCACATCCCCTGAGCACCCGCACCCAGGCTCCCTCACGCTCCAGGCTGGGCCCAGCAGGTAGAAGGGGTCACTGCTGAGGTGCCCCAGGAGGATTTTCCCAGCTTCTGGCAAAAAGGCTCTGGGGTCCCCCCAACTCGGGCTCAGCCCCTCCCCACTCCCCAGGGCTGGGAACACCAAGGCCATAGAGAGTGGAGCAAATTGGAAGCTGCTTCTCTGGCCCATGAGGCTTAGAACAGGCCCTTGGAGGATGATACTTTTTGGTCTAGCACCCCCCTCCCCATCTCCAGCGCTGATACTGGTGCCTGTTGAAGGGGCTGTGGGCAGAGATTCCAGCCTAGACTGTGGTCCCATCCTGGACTCTGGTCTGAGCATAGGAGGTGACTGCGGGGGTCTGGGATTGGAACCCAGGGCTGGGGAACCATTTGCAGGCCCCTGGACTGTCTAGGATTTGGTGGACAGTCTCTGACCACCCCCATCCTGTCACTAACCCACAGCACTTCAGTACTTGGCTTAGGTCTGTCCCCAGAGCTTCATTGTCCTTAGAATAGGATGAGACAAAGACCTATCCCCTTACTGGGGTGTTGGCCCAGGGGCCCAATCCCAGGCCTAGGCCCAGACCAGAGGGAGGGCAGCGCTGCGACTGCTTTGCTCTTTGACCTGTGGCTGCTGCAGGATGAGTGCCCTCACTTGCCCCCCATTCCCTACAAGGCCAGGCGTGTTGCACACTCACTGGCTCTCCACGCACCCACCCCAGCAGGCAGCTTCTCCCTGGCCCAGCCTAGAAAAGAAAGAAGGCAGGATCTGGCTTCCCAGGTTTTTCTTTTCCTCTCCCCACCACACACACAAGCCTTTCTGAACTGGATACTGCCTCCCACTTTCCCATAAGGTGAGGGGTCTGGCTGAGCTCGAGTGAACCTGATTTCAGTCCCTTTGTTAGAAACCCAATTAGAACGGGGTCTCCTACCCTCACCTGGACATGAGAGTCACTTGGATGCTTGTTAAACATACAGATGGGCCCCCCCTCATACTTGCTGGGTTGGGGAGTCTGTGTGGGTCCTAAGATGAGGCCAGCTGCAACCCACTCCACCAGGAGAAATTCGGGTGTTGTGCTAAGAGGGGCCAAGACCTCAGTGAAGCCACACTGGAAGGAAGTCTTGTCCTCAGAAACAGGAATTATCAGAACCCCAGAGAGGATCTGTCTCTCTGTTGGAGACTTTTGTCATCCAGAACCACAAAGGCTGATGGACAAAGCACAAGGCCAGTTTGTTCCAGTTCAATGACAGTCAAGTCTCAGGGGTTGGGGTTCTGTAGTCTCAGAAGTGGCTGCATCGGGGCCTCTGTGTATTCGTTTTAAGGAACAGCTCCTAGGAGGCAGGCTCCTCTCTTTATTTCCAAGTTCCTGGGTGGTATTTTCATGCAACATCTTTTCGCAAGTTAGAAAGTGGTGCTTTTCACACCTTTGACTCCCCATCTGTCAGAAAGTTGTTTTAATAAAAGTTTTGTTAGAATAAGACACTTGACTGCCAGAATTCCTGCCAGAAAATGATAATAAATATACAAGCCCATGAGGTTTGCAGTTTGAATGGAAGCCCTTTAAATAAGGACACCTTGTGCAGTTCACAACTTGTCCACATGTGCACAGCAGCCCTAAATCACTTTAGTTCACAAGTATGAACAAAATTCTTCATATCTTTGATCTTGAAAAAAAAACACATTTTTTTCGTGACAGATGCATGGTCCATGCCTAACTGGTTTGTGAAAGGACTCTGTGTACTAATCCTAGCAGCAGAGCCAGCTGAATCCTTCTTGAACATCCACTGATGGCCTGGTTTGCACTATTAAGAAATTTCACTGGAATAATAATAGTAGCCACTGTTTTTTGAGTGCATGTTACTATGTGGCAAGCACAGCTCTACATGCTTTAATTAACTCATTTAATACAGCTGTGATCCACACAAGGCCATGGATTTTTAAACACGTTATCGAAGTAAAATAAACCTACAGAAAAGTACACATAAGTGTAAGCTCAATGAATTTTTACAAACTGAACACCAAAGTCACCAGCATGCAGATTGTGAAACATTATTACCATCACTCCAGAAACATCCCACACACACCCTACAAAAAGAACAGGGATTTTTGTCTACTTTGTTCACTGCTATATTCCCAGTGCTTAGTAGAGCGGTGCCCGGCACAGAGTAGCTGCTTTCCCCCCCACCGCCGGCCGTACCACAGGGCTTGTGGGATCTTAGTTCCCAGACCGGGGATTGAACCCGGGCCCTCGGCAGTGAAAGCTCAGAGTCCTAACCCCTGGGCTGCCAGGGAATTCCAAGAGTAGCTGCTTAATAAATATCTGTTGAATGAACGGAGCACAGAAAGTTTACATAACTTGTCCAGGCCACACATTTAGGAAGTGGCCCAGCCAGGTTTTGAACCCAGATGGAATGGCTTCAGTGCCCCGGGGCATAGCCTCCATGCCATAGAATCTTGCAGCCATAGCTGGTTGGCTCGTCCACCGTCCTCCCCTTAGACATGGCTCTCTCTTCTAGAAAGCAGACCAGCTGCTGTCCACTAGTCTATTTATGTCTTCAGAGTTTAAGGTTGGACATACAGTTAGGAGTGAATTAACCAAGTTTTTCTCCCTTTTCAAAGTTTACAGTTTTGTATAGCTTAAAGGAAGCTTGACCTTTAACGCTGCCCTCAAGACCTGGCTTCTCTACAGTGTCTTTAAGAGGAATCCAATTTTACTCATTCTTTCTTTAAAAGTGTACTCTCCATCTATCAAGTTTATCCAGGCCAACAGAGCTTAAACTTCCGCTAAAATGGGTGTGATTCTCTACAGGAGATGTAGCTGCACATTGAGACGGGAGAAGTGGGCCAACCCCATCACCAGCTCCGGGGGTGGCAACGTCTCCTACCAGCATCACTTTTCTAAAATAGAAAAGGTTCTCTGTCCAAAAAACAAAACAAAACAAGACACTCAAAAAGCCAGGTGTGGGAATTCCCTGGTGGTCCAGTGGTTAAGACTCTGCGCTTCTACCACAGGGGGCACGGGTTCCATCCCTGGTCCAGGAACTAAGATCCCACATGCCACGTGGCCAAAAATGTAAAAAAAAAAAAAAAAAAAAGAAAGTAATGTAGCCACCATTAATTAGTGTTATAACCCACCGATATAGGGACTAATTTTATACTCATTTGATAGGGCTTTATTAAAGCAGAGTGAGTCATATCATATATTGAAAAGGCTAAAAAAGGATCCATTGTAATAAATCTGCTAGCAGAGTTCATGTGGGTGGGTGGCATCCCAATGGTCAATCTGGACAGATAGTCAGCAGAGAAGAGTTTTTTCCAGCGGCTTGGACTAGAGTTTGGAAATTGGCATCCCTCCTCTGAGCAATATATTTCTACCTGTTCTGAATCAAAACAAAACCAGCCAGAATGTCTTCCATTTGTAGTTACTGTTATATACATAATTCACAATTCTAAGATTTTCATGTGTCCTCAAATAGGTATAGCCTTGGAGTTTGTCCAGTTGCAGCCATGTTCCCAACCTAAAATCTCTTTGCAAACATGTTATACATTTGGGGATGAAGAATTTAGTCTTTTCAGCCAGTTGCAAATAATAAGCATTGCATATTAAAAATAGCACCTTATTTTCAGCTAAGTCAAACTGTAAATTGATTTATATTCTGTGACCTTCTGTTCCATGGCCCAGGGTTATCTAAATTTGGGTTTGGGTTATCTAAAATTCACATAGAGTAACCAAGTAAAACAAAAGGCGGTTTTGATATATTTCAGTGGGTAGAAGACATGGACAAACAATTTAGCAATGAAGGACTGCCATTACTTGGTACATTTTGGTGGTAATTAAAGACGATTACAACAATTAAATACAATTTTCTACCCAATGAAATACCAATGAATAATATCTTCATGTAGAGAAGGTTGAAACAAACATGTGTTTTGGGTGACAGCATCAATTAATAGAAAAATTTCATTTGGAAAATAATTTCATCATAACGAGCCACATGTTCACTCTTTTGAAAACCTGTGGGAGCATTTTAAATGTTCAGAGCTTGGGGAGTGAGTAAACAGGTTACAGCACATCCTCTCAGTGTAGCCAAGAAATGCTTAAGGCCAAGTAATTTATGGTCAAGAGAAGAAAATATGCTTTTGATAGTTAAAAGCAAAAACAAAAAACAAAAAAAGAAAAAAGGCCCATGCAATTCCATGTGAACTGTGATCTCAACTTTTTATTTAAATGCCTCTGGATGAGAAAGAAATCAAATAATTACTAACTTCAGGACAAAAATCTTGTCTTTGAAATGAAAAGCACGTTTAGAAGCTATTCACAACCTATATATATTTTTTAAAAGCCAAGTTTACCATCAGCATTCATATTATTTAAAAAAATCATATTATAGACTCCGTAGTACAGTGGCTTTCTAAGCCTGTAGCCAAAGACCTGTCTGTAGGGTCAGTGTGAGCACAGACTCCACTGCTTGGGCATGGGCAGGCCCATTTGAGGTCGTCTGTGTGCTAAAAATAGAAAGGTAAGAATGATTACATATCTTTGGGGTTCCTCCAGCTCCCGGATTCTATAGATGGTAAAAGGGGGAGGGGATGGGGAGGCTCCTTTGTTCTAAATTCCATACCTCCGCTTTGCTGAAGCCAGAAGAACAAAGACAGGTAGGGAAGGCTGTTCTTGCTGTCTTGGGCTTCCCTGGGTGGCATCATTTTCCTGAATCCACCTCAGTCCAGGGTCTTGTCCCAGGAAGAGACCTTCTGCTTTGGGGAGGAAGGATGGATGTACAGTAACCAAACAAAACGACCAATTTATGAAGTGACAGTGAGCAATATGATAGCAAGAGCACCAAGCACTCCCAGCCCTGACCCTGGACTTCACACTTGTGGGCACCTCCATGAATAGCAGTTGGTCTTTAAAAGGGCGCTTGGTTGGAGAGGAATTGGAACCAGACTTCACCTTAGGCAGCTCAAAAAAAAGCTTGATGCCTCACCTACAGGACAGAGGAACACCTGCCCCCAGGTGGGTGGAATGATTCCTTGGGCCAGAACTGCTCCTGGACTTGAATGGCCAAGCCAGCATTTACCCAGATACTCGCCATTCCTTCCTTCCCTGGCTGACCAGGCCCTCCTTCAGCTGGACAGGGTTTTTTTTTAAGATTTATTTATTTTATTTATTTTTTTGTCTGCTTCTGGTCTTAGTTGCAGCACGCAGGATCTTTGTTGAGGCATGCGGGGTCTTTCATTGTGGCGTGCAGGCTTCTCTCTGGCTGTGGCGTGCGGGTTTTCTCTTCTCTAGTTGTGGCGTGCGGGTTCCAGAACGTGTGGGCTCTGTAGTTTGCAGCAAGCGGTCTCTAGTTGAGGCCCGCGAGCTCAGTAGTGGTGGGCTTAGTTGCCCTGCAGCATATGGGATCTTATTTCCCTGACCAGGGATCGAACCCGCGTCCCCTGAATTGTAAGGGGGATTCTGTACCACTGGGCCACCAGGGAAGTCCCTGGACAGTCCTTCTTTAGATACTCGAATACCTTTTTTTCCCTGCTAGGGAGGGTCCAGCCCTGGGCGCCCATCTCTGTGGACTTAAAGTTTCTTTCCAGCTTGGGGCGGGGGTGGAGCGGGCACTCTCACTTCTCCCCTTTCTCCTGGCCCTTCCTGGGCCCTCCTGCGACCTGGGTTAAGTGGGCAGGGGTCTGGGAAGGTCCTTTCCCGCCGAGGGATCGGCCAGAGGGCCGGATCTTCAGGCGGGCGAGAAGGGCTTGTCCAGGATTGCCAGGCAGCGCCCTCCCCGCGGCCCGAGCAGCCGCGGCCCCGGGCCCGGAGCCCAGCAGGGGCGTGTCCCCGTGCTCACCTGCCATTGGGCAGGTGGGGCAGCCGGAGCTTTGGCAGGGGCCGTATTATAAATGCGGAGCCGGTGGCAGCGGAGCAAGGGACGTCGCAGAATGGTGGACAGCGTGTACCGGACCCGCTCCCTAGGGGTGGCGGCTGAAGGGCTCCCGGACCAGTACGCGGACGGAGAGGCGGCGCGCGTGTGGCAGCTCTACATCGGGGACACCCGCAGCCGCACCGACGAGTACAAGGCCTGGCTGCTCGGGCTGCTGCGCCAGCACGGCTGCCAGCGGGTGCTCGACGTGGCCTGTGGCACTGGGTGAGCCCGGGCAGGGGCCAGGGGACCGGAGTGAGCGGGAGCAGGGAGCGGGTAGGGTGGTGGGGGACCGGGGTGAGTGGGGACCCGGGGCATTGGAGCGACGGAGTTGGCTCGGCCCGGGCAGCTTGATCGCAGGACCATGGCCGGGCACGTCAGGGCAGCCTCCTCCGCCGACCCTGAGCCGGGCGGGGGCGCGACGCCAGGGCCAGGAATGAGTGTTTGCCCAGGCAGAACAGACAGGGCGAGGCCGACGATGGCAGGACGGGGCCCAGGAGACCCAGGGTGAGAGCGAGGGTGTGGGCACACCGGGTGGGGAAGGCGGGTTCGGGAGGGCAGCGCAAAGGCC